TGGAGATAAGCAGAGCATGAAGAGAAAACTTGTGTAGAGGAAAGACATAGCCCTAAGGTAGGAATGAGCCTGGCACACTGCTGAACAGCATGGTGGTTGGAGGATGTGGGTGTGAGGCAGGAATGAGGTGTGAGTGTGTGTGTGCAAAGGTGAGCAGGCTTCAGGCCTCCGTTAGGAGTTTGGATTTCCCCCAAAAGGCAGTATGAAATCACAGAAAAGATTCAAGGGCATGTGTGATGTGGCTTCATTGTGATACGTTCACACACACACACACACACACACACACACACCAGAATATGTTATATTATAAAGTATATTTTATATTACATTTAATATATGTCATTTTTATGTGTAAGGGTGTTTTGTACCATTTGCATGCCTGGTATCCACAGAAGGCAGAAGAAGGTATCAGATCTCCTAGAACTGGAGCTGTGGATGGCTGTGAGCCAACACGTGGGTGCTGGGAATCAAACCCAGTACTCTGGAAGAATAGCCAGTGCTCTTGATCACTGAGCCATCTCTCCAGTCCCTCATTGTATGCATTTTTAATATTACTAACATATGCATGGAGGAAATCTTGAGAAAGACAAGAGCATGCCCAGGAGACCACTTTGAGGCAAATGTAGCTGGCAGCCTCCCAGAAGGTGAGCACAGACCACATATGTAATGCATGGGATCTACCAGGCATTATGGTATATGAAGTAAAAAAAATAAATAAAAGGAGGTGGCCATCCATGATGATTCCCATTTGGAGACATTGAGACTCTAGAAAAAAGGAGCCTTTGACAGGGATAGAGGAGTCTGAGTCTGGCCTTTAGATAAGGAACATGGAAGTTGGAGTGTCTGTGGAGCCAAATCCAATGTGCATCTGGACACCTTTAGCTGAGTTGAGAGAATGGTCTGAGCTGAAGATAAAGATTTTTTTTAATTATCTGGAGAGTAAAAGCAGGCAGCGGCAGACAGAGGAGACTAAAGAATACGAGGAGAAGGTGAAGTCAGGGGAGCCACCAAGTGTCCTGAGTGACCACTGGATCTGAGGTATGGGACTCCTAAGTGGTGGGGCTTCTCCCCAGAAATGCACAAGAGGGTGTGAGGGGGAGCTTTGGCCACAAAGGAGAATATAGAAAGGAACAGTAGCCAGAAGCAAGTGGAGAATTGCTTCGCTGTTTCTTGTATGAAGGTGGGAGGTGTTCCCATAGACAAAGACTGGTGATCATAAGAGAAAGGAATTATCTGTGACATTTGGGTCTAGGGACTTAGAGTTTGGAGCACACCAGTGAGTGTGGTTTGAGAGCAGAAGTTCCAGAAGCCCTTCCGTAAGGCGGGTGTGGC